TTTAGTGGTGTTTCAGAGTAAAGAAGGGATTGTTTTTTAAAATAATTTTTATTTATAAATATATTAAAATAATATTTTTTTAAAATTATTTTTAATAGCATTATATTAAAACGATAAAAAATATAAAAAAACTAATTTTAAACTAAACAAATCAAATTTTGATAACTTGCGTTTAGAATGCACTACAAAACATGAGCTAAAACCCTTAGACCCAAAGACTGGTAACCTAACGCCAGACATAAATTATCTGATTGGAAAAGGGATTTACGAGAACATAATGTCAAAGTGTAGTAGAGGTTTTTACGGTCTAGTTCTAATTTAAAAATTCAACCAAATTAAAAAATAGTATTTTTTATTAATAATCTCAAATTAAACCAAAAATTAGTTTAAATTGAATCAATTTTGCTCGATTGAGATCAATTTTTTAGCATTAAAAACTAGAAAAATCAGAACTAATTAAGCTAGCTTGTTTTTACTGCTCTCCTTGTACCAAAACCCTCTAACTTCATTTCTCAGATAGCTTGTGTATATCAATAAGTGGATGATGAAATAAATTGAGATCTTGGATTATTATGTCTAGCATTAGATGATAGGATGAACCAAAGTTGAGAGAAATATCTAGATTTGCAAGTGCACATGGAGCCATTACAACCACCATTGTCGGTGGCTGATGATAAAAGTGAAGTGAAGGTTGTGAAAGGCAATGCCGTATTGTATGAGAGACCAAAAAATGATTGTAGGAGAAGGTAGGGAGGTGTGGTGTCGAAATTTAAAAAAATTATTTAATATTAGGTTAACACTTAATATGAGAGAATGAGAAAGAAGAGTATAGAGGAGAGGAGAGGGGAGCGGCTGTAAATGAATAAATGACTTAGGGTTAGGGTTTTATATATATTTTTTAAACTATTTTGATTTAATTCAATCAATATAGTTTAGTCTGGTTCAATCGATTGAAATTTTTTAAAACTAAAATCAAACTGAATTTAGTGATTTTATTTTTTATTTTTTATATGGTTTATTCAGTTTTTTCTATTTGTTCTGCTTTTTATTTTTTCTGATTTAATTAGTTAATTGGTTTTTCAATACACTCCTAAAATATAGAGGAGTAGCCATACCATACCAGACAGTGCAGCAGCTTCTATTTTTGAGATTACAGCAGAACTCAATCTGCCTTGCTGTATCTGCATGCAGCTATAGCCTCAGCTATTTGCTTTGTGAACGACGAAGGAAACCATCCTGACAAGGCCCTACAGCAACTCAAGCTCTCGTGCAATCTATGAAAAACTTGATGCTTCCAAAATGTTTCATACTAATTCTCCCAAGAATCCCTGTCCTCTAACCATATCAATCACAGGTTCAACGTAAAAAACTATCAAAACACAAGGCATATATACTTCACCACCAAAATGGTCAAAATCATATCAAAGCAAGAAGCTACAGAACAGAAAAGAAAGTTGAGGCATGCTCGAACCTGCTCAAGCACGGCTGCTTCAGTGATCAAATCCCCAGAAACCTTCTTCGACTCAGAAACAGCAGCCATCTCCTTAGCCACCCATTTCCTCCCACTAGGCGGCTGCGCGACACTCCCCGCAAACCCCTGCAAACCCCTCAGTTCCTTCTGCTTACTCCTTTAGCCATCTTCTTCCTCGCCCATGCGAAAACTACAGGATCCATCACATCATCTTTCATGTAAGCTTCAAAACTAATCCCAATATCCTTACATGGCACCACCATATTATATATCCTCGACAGCAAATCCTCCCTGCTCTTCAACTCCATTGTCGCCAACAGCCCTCGACAATACCTCCGCCCACTCGCGTAGAATTTAAACACGGCCTGCCCTTCTCTCAACAACAGAGGCGAATCTTCGCCTTCCCCGATACCTAAAAGACCAAAACTCTTCTCAAAAATCGGATCCTTGGCGGCCCAAGACAATGCTAAATTCCCATCCTCACGTTTACCAGTGAAGTAATTGATCGCAAGCATGATCAAGAAACTTCCGCAAACAATCTCAATAGTTGAAGTTAAAAGATTGTAATATTATTAGATATATTTGCTTAAGTGTTGTGATCTGTTAGATTAATTTGACAAGCACATGAAATATTATAAGGGCTTGGAGAAAAAGAATGGAGAACAAATAATAGCCTCTACTGATCCACTTCATTTGAAATTATGCCTCGCCATCACACTCACTCTCTATTATACTCTCTAGTTGCAAAACTCGAATCACCATACTCGGGATTTTCATATATTTTAGTTAAAAATAAAAAATTATTTGGCTTTATAAAAAATATGGGTTGACCTTAACCTCCCTGATCATTTAGCTTTTAATTTGTTGATTTTTTACAATAAATAATTAAAATAATATTATTTTAATTTATTTTTTAAATAAAGTTAAATAAATAATTTCATACACTACTAGAAAATTAATAAATACAAACAAAAATATCGAGAGAATATTTTTGAAGATAAATTTATGAGAGATTTTATCAACTGACATATTCCCTTGATATATACTATGAGAATTACGGGAAAAAAAAATAAAACAAAGCAAAAAAAATAATGATGTGTCATTTTTATCAACAGAATTACCAACAAAATAAGTTATACTGATAAAATCCATCGCTAAATTCATTAGTAAATTATGAACACTATTCATCATGTCGCTAAATTCTGGGTTGACTCATTTCTTATTCTTTTTCTTCTTTGCTATATGTTAAAAATATCAATATTTATTTTTTTCTTTTCTCTTCTTTCCTCATCTTCTTCTCTTCTCCTCTATGCTCGAATACATTTTCTTATTCTTTCTTCTTTTATCCTTTTAGTTTTTTTTATATTTAATATGCTTTACAAAATTTGTTTTCTCTTTTAAGCTTCACTTGCAACTATATTAAAATAAGATTTTTTTCATTTTCTCTTTTAAGCTTCACTTGCAACTTTATTAAAATAAGATTTTTTTCTTTTTTTTCATAAATTTTTTCACTATATTTGTTTTTTATTTTTTTTGTTCTTAATAATTGTATAAATGTTGTTGTGAGATTTTTTTTTTCATGTGAGATCAATTTTTAGTTGATTTATTTATAGGATTTTTAAATTTTTAGCAATTACAACTTTATTTTTTTCATATGAATTTTTTTAGTTGAATTTATTTTTTTGTTTTATTTATTTGTTGTAAATTTGTTTGAGTTGATTTTCTTATTCTTTTTCCAAGCATTTTGAGTATATATTATAGAGTGTTGATTTATGTTAATTTAATTATTTTATAATTTTATAAAATAAATTTTTTAAAAATAATTCTAAATAATTACCAATAGAATTACCGATGGAATTTCAGTTCATATATCCCTCAGTAAATCCGTTGATAATAAAAAAAATATTATTACAAAGGGATATATCAATTAAATTAAAGCGGATATTTTTTTTTACACGTCTATTTCATCAGTAAATCAATCGATGATAATATTTTATCAAAGGATAAAAAATTACCGATGAAAGATTTACCAACGGAGCATTTTCATCGATGATTTTGTTAATAAATTAATTATTAATAAAATATGTATTTTACATCGATAAAAAATTTCCATGAGTAAAACTATTAGATATTGTAGTGATGCATATGATTATTATAAACAAAGAATACCAATTTTGTTTTAAAATCTACAACACTTATTCATAGTAGAGCTACTCAGGCTTATCTTTAAATTATTTATTACCGATTATGAAAAAAAAAATCTATTAGAGCACTAGAACGACACAGATTTATCTCTAAGAATACAAATTCATGATCTTATTTTATTCATAGCCATAGAATAAGAAATTAATTCCTTTTGACACATCAACAAGTTTTTAATAAGAAATACATGTTTCATTAAAACAAAAAATGAATAATAAAAAGGGGGTTTTCATGAAAAAAATATATTTTTCTTGTGAATTTAAATTATCAGAATTTTTATAAATGTTTATTTTTTATATATCACGTTAGTTTTGAAAAAATATGTTGTTAATAAAAAAAAATTTCATGTTTCATTAAAACATGAAAAAAAAAATATATAGATAAAAATTAGAATTTTGATTAACAAAATACATTATTTTAAAAAAAAATCTTTCAATCCCTTTTCATTTTTTCCCTCTCTATTGCACCTATGTCAGATTTACTTGCATATTAATTTATTTGTTACTTTTTCTTAAATATTTTTTATTTAATATAGGTATATCTTAATTAATTTTATAGGTTTTAAAATTAATGACCATTTAAATTTTTAATGGTCATTATTAATAATTATAGGACTCGAATTTAAGACTATAAAAAAAATAAACCATTTAATTTCAGGCTTTTACCACTAGGCTATCTAATAAATAGTTAAAATATTTTGTTTTAATATTTAATTATTATTCATAGAACTTTTATTAATTTATGTTGAATTCATTATACTAAGCATACAAATAATTTTTTCATTTCTCGACTAATAAATTTCAATATATCATAAAAGGCATCCATAACTATCACACTTTATTTTCTTGTATTGAAATTAACTTGAAATTATATGACATGAAAAAAATAATAAGTAATTAATATTATATATAATCATTAATCTTAATAATGATTCTAATAATTATAGCTTAATTGATTAGATATTAAATTTAATTTTTAAAATTTATCTAGATAAGTGTTACAAACACGAGAACTATTAAAGATTTATATAATTATGAATTTTAAAATTTATAAAATTAGTTGAAGTATTTTGCAAACTTATCAAGATTTTTATATTAATAAAAAACAGTTATAATATAAAAAATTCATGATTCAAAACTTAATTAATTTTAAATTAAAATAAAAAAATATTGATGCAACTAAAGTTAATTAAACTGATAAATTAAGCTAGCTAAAACCAAGCCAGTCAACTCTAAGATATTTTTTTTTTAAAAAATGAATATGAAAATTGAAAAATAGAAGAAACTGGAAGCAAAGGCACATTTGTCAGCTACTACTACTATAATTCTTTTTGTGCTTTCCTGGCAGCATCAGCACCCCAGCTTCTTTCATTTCCAGACAAACAGGCAAAGCTCTCTCCTCTCCTCCCTTCCTTCTCTCCCATCTCCAGACAGCTCTCCTCTCTCTCTCTCTCTCGTTTTGCCGATTCCGAAACCAATCTGTTGTTTTCTTTTTCTCATCAAGGAAGAGAGAAAGAGATGCAATCGGTGGTGTTGAACCCAACATGCTACAGCAGGGCTCAACAAGGCCTGGACACCTCCTGCAGCTCTCCTCCCCCTCCTGCTATTCTTTACAAGGTTTCCTCCTCTCCCTGTCTCAACTTTTTTATTTTTTTATTTTTTTTGTATTGGCGTTGAATAACTGAATCCCATATTAACAGAGTGGTTCGAGCTTTTTTGGTACCCATTCGAGGAGCCCCAGTCACCTGCGGCGAGGCATACCTTGCCGTTCCTTGCGAATTCGATTGCCTTCTTTCACACGGAGGAGGCCAGGTTCCCTTTCTCTCTTATAGTAATTGTGAATATATATAATTCATCATGCCCTTTTTGTAATCTTTTAATTTCGTAGAAATTAGCTAGGTACGCAGCTTGGAGTGGAATAATTGATGGGTTTAGTTTATATTGTTAGAAAATAGCTAAGTTAATTTTTTAGAGTGAAATAATTAATGGGTTTGATTTATTTTATTAAGTGATGTTGCTGAATAAGTCTTTTTTTACGCTGTGTAGTTGTTAAGGCTGTTGCTACTCCAGATTCAGCGGTAGAATTGCCGTTAACTGCAGACAACGTTGAGAGTGTATTGGATGAGGTTAGACCTTACCTGATTTCAGATGGTGGTAATGTGGCATTACATGAGATTGATGGAAATGTTGTTAGATTGAAATTACAAGGAGCATGTAGTTCTTGTTCTGCTTCTGTTATGACGATGAAGATGGGTATCGAGCGTCGCGTAATGGAAATGATTCCTGAGATAGTTGCAGTAGAAGCTGTAGCGGATGAAGAAACTGGGCTTGAGCTGAACGGAGAGAATATAGAGAAGGTAATCAAATTGAAGCCTTTATTTTCAGTGCTTACATATATTGCTCTGGAATGGAATTGAACAGTTTTTAAATTATGAATCACCTCTCGGAAGGATCCACGTTGTAATGGTAAAAGGAGAAAAAAAGAAGATTCAAAGATTCTAAATTGCAGGATAAAAATCAAAAAAGAAAAGAACAGAGTGTATAGGTCTCTACACCATTCGCTTATTACTCAGAGGAGCTTCATGCAGTTTTATAATCATGGATGATGCCTCCAGAGAATAGTGAATTTTGTGTGCATGTGTATTTGCTTTCTGAAATTATTGTTCTAATTCTGTTAGATTACAGAGTAAACAGCAGTCTTATGTCAGTGATTGGCACTCTTGGTGCTTGTAAATAATTTCTATGGCCCTCTACTTGCTTCTGGAACATTTTCCTCCTTTTACAATTTATTCTTCCCAAGTGTTGTTTTGCATCAACTCTTATTTAGCTCTTGGTATTTACTTAGGGTCCAGAGTGCTGTGTTTTCTATGACTCGTCCTAAACTAGGATGCACTTTGAGAGTCCCTTCTTCCGTGTTCCCCTGTCACCTTCTACTGGCTGCGCAGTTTCAACCCCCTTTTGTAATTTTTTGCTCCTCTTGGAGAACTTAAATTATGAGTGGTTACTGCACATTACCATCATGGAATTTTGAGGATGTTTATGAAATCAACAAATGAACAGTGAATGGTCCCCTACTTGCTCATTCAAGCCTATATGACTCTAATACCAAGGCTTACCTCCCTTCTAAGAGAATTTTGCCTTTTCAGGAAAATGGAATTGGAATTACGGGCTAGGTTCTTTCCTCAATGGCCTATTGTCAGATAATTAGTTTATGCGGCTCACAAACTGCCATCAAGGCGAACAGACAAGTAGTAGCTTAAACTGTCAATTAGATTCTACTTGACTTTTTTATATCCCAGTAGGTTGCTGCGTTTTCTGTGACGCTTCCATAACACATGATAGGTAACCATTATGTAACAACTTTGGCTGTGACGTCTATCAGTAATAGCCTCAATTGATTTTATACTTTGGGATAGGGTTTTCAAAGTATCTGGATATTCTTGAGTGTTCTATACCTTATAAGAGCTGTTTTTAACAGAGGTTTGAGGGTGTTGGGAATTTATAAGGAGGAAGTCTTGTGGTACTGTGCTTTGTCATTGATTTGGAATCTTTGGCAGGAGGGAAACTTTAGATTTTTTCAGTTTGGAAGCTCTTTTTTTTTCCTTTTTTTTTGTCCTGCTTTAGGATAAGCTAGTTCTACTAGCTTAAAATTGGTGCTGTCACTCTCTATAGATTTTCTTCAGCAGGTTTGCAGTGAAATTGGAGAGTTTTGATGTCTTTCTTCTGATGTTTCTGGTAGGTTCTTTTCAGCTTTTGTTTCTTGGTTAAGTCTCTTTTCTCCTGTATTTTATGTCCTTCCCCTGTTCTCTGATACTATAGGGTACCTTTCTATCAATATACATATTTGCTTCTGTCAAGTCTAAGATGGTCAGAAGCACAACACGGTTTCTGTGCTGGTGTATTTCATTTTATTGAGGCCCCTGAAGTTACTGCCTTTGAGACGCAATGCCTGATGAGAGATACTGAGCTGTTTCTGATTGGCAATGTTCTGCTTTTCATTAGGGCCCGCAACCGCATAGCCTTATGGCTGTGGCGGCATTTTTGTATCTTCCTTTTCTTCCACATATAAACACCCCTGATCTCCAATCCCATAATAAGCCCAAATTGGAAGTATATGATGGCCATTTCCTTGTCAAACTTCAATGTTGTTAGCTGTTTATATACTTGTTATTGTGCCAGGTACTGGAAGAAATAAGGCCATACCTTGTTGGGGCAGCAGGAGGATCCCTTGAATTAGTGGCAATTGAGGAACCAATAGTTAAAGTCCGATTAACAGGGCCAGCAGCTGGGGTCATGACTGTACGAGTGGCTGTCACCCAGAAATTACGCGAGAAAATTCCGGCCATTGCTGCAGTTCAACTCCTATGATACACTTTCAGATTTCTAGTCCAGAGCATGAGATTATCAAATAAAAGGAGTCATTGAACTCTTAATACCTGTATAAATACCACATTAGATTGTGTACAGTGTAGAAAGATGCAGTCGTTGGATACTGATATTTTGAAAATCCAATTTGAGGAAATTGAAATTGCAAATCATTTTGTATTCACACAACCATCTTCACCATGTTCTTTGAAATTTAACTGCTGATGCTAGCTAATTTATTGTAGGATCCTCGTTGTACTTTCTTATCTGTTGAGCATTGTTTTTGCCTAGCTCCAAGAAGATTGAATATCACTCAGTCCTCTGAATAAGATATCGGAAATGGACTGCATGGGAGAAGGTTTGCTAGTCCCTCTTGGATAACAGTCAAAACAGAAGGCTAGTTGCACAGCTCATCCATCCTTTGTCACAGGCCTGCAGATTTTGCCAAAAATCAAAGCATTTGATTGTTTAATGAATCTAGAAATTCCTGTGTTATTGATTTTTAATAAATACATCTTAGCTTTTTTTTTGAAAAACAAAATTTGATTATTATTATTATTATTTGAAAAAAGGACTATATATATAAAAAAAAATGGATGAAAAATAGAAGGATCCATGTTGTAGTGGTAGTTTTCTAGTCTCTGTCTTCCTTATACAAACTTTCTACGTTGTCTTAACCTTGAAACAACAGCCTCCATCTCCCATAGCTTCTCCTTTTTGTACTCTGTAATATTTTGAAGTAAAAGCAAAGAAAACCTGGACCAAACCAACCCCGTCATCAAATATTCCCTCTCACCCCTCCAAAACACCTCATTCTTCAACAATATGGAAACTCCTACTCTTTCTCCAAAACCAGCAGAAGACTACAGCTCCTCGGTTGACACTTCACGCCCATTTCAATCAGTCAAAGAAGCTGTTGCCATCTTCGGCAAGCAGATTCTCGTAGGAGAAATATACTCTTCGAAGCCTTATGATAATCCTTCTGGAGAAGAAAATATTTCATGGAGGTTCTTATCACCAAATCCTAGCTACAGAAGCCCTAAAGAAGATCATCATCATGAACAAAATGAGGTCTTTGGTGCTCTAATGAAACTTGAGGCTGAACTTAAGGAAACAAAGACTGAACTGAAGTTGCTAAAGGAGAGAGAGTCCGAGACTGAAATTGCACTGGCTTCTTTGAATTCCGAGCTTCACAAGAATATGTCTAAGTTGGCTAGGGCTGAGGCAGCTGCAGCTAAAGAGGCGGTAGAGATGAAAGCGGTGAGTTTTGAGAGGGAAAAGAAGGAAGATCTTCTTCTTAAAGAGGATGAAAGGATGAGAGAATTGATGATAAGAATGGAGAATTCTCCAACCTTGGCTCAAATATTGAGTCTTGGGGAGGAGAAAGAGTGCTTCCGAGGAAAGGAGGAGAGGAAGGCAATGAAAAAGAAGCCTATTGTTCCTCTTGTGGGAGACTTGTTTTTCAAGAAAAAAGGATCATCTAACACTCTTAATAACCCTTTATATGCATCTCCTGAAGTGTGTTTTAATTGAGAAAACCGGGTTTGGTTTTTATTTAGCTTTTTGTATTGAAAGTTCAAAAAAAGATAGACAACGTAGAAAAGTTTGTGCATGAAGTGTTGCAAGGTGAGTTGAATTTCTGTATGGTGATGCAATGTAATGTGTTGTTTCGTGTCTACGCTATTTAAATGTTTTCCTTTGCTTGTTCAGAGTTTTGTAGCCCGGCAAATTCTCAATATCAGGGCAGAGAGAGATATTTTGAATTGAATTGACACTCGTTCATCTATTTTTTTGACGCATTTCTAGTGCTGGTTCAGGCTGTTTTAGGAGAGGCATAAACTTATAAATGATCAACTGAGAGCAGGCCAGTCCCCCAGAGAGAGAGATTTCAGAATCTGTCCCTTCTCATCAAGTTTCATTACTGGATATCAATTCAAACTATATGGACAAATAATTTAGAATCTCAACCAAGAATTACAATTAAAAATCAAGATTGTTTGTTGGAGATAAGCCCATAACAGATGTTTACACATAACTAACCAGCTGACCTGATTATCGGCAGGGTAAGGGAAGAAATACTACTAAAAACCCAACATAAAATCAAGCCAGGTAGCATTTACTGAACCAAGAAACCACCATCCTATAAATCTATATGCATTCTGTCCATGTGACATGCAGACATTAAGTTGTGCACACACCTATATGATAATTATTAGAGTGTTTCGACATATTCAACTTAAATAAACCTCATTTAATTGCAACAACATAATCCCAACTTGTTCAAATTCTAAGTCTCCATTGTCAACAGGAATATAAACATTATTCTATCACCAAAGAGACAGCATCACCAGCAAAAGATTTTCACAACTAAATCTGCTCTATTTGAAAGTTCATAAAAATCCATCAGGTTTGCATTCCACATGTTTGGACTTCAAGCCAACCCCTAAATCATCCACAAAGGTTTCCAAGAAAAACAAATCCAAGGAAAACAAGAGAACGTATATGAATCATGTAGAGGGAGAGAGAGCACTTCAGGAGGCCGTTGTCACCTGTGCTGAATCACCACTTGCTTTTGTGTAAATAGGATGGAGCTCATATCCATACTTAGGCTCCACATGCACCCATTTGCGGCCTGTAAGCTTGTTTGTTTCAAACTTCACATTTCCTTCCTTCAAGGCAAAAAGCGTGTGATCTTTCCCCATCCCAACATAGTCTCCAGGATGAAAACGAGTGCCTCGTTGCCGAACTATGATATTTCCAGGTATAACCCTCTGTACAACATATTAAAGCCATCAAAATGAGAATTCAACATTCTCTAGTTGATATCAGTTATCAGAGGAGAAATAAAACAAGAAAAATTAGTGTCAAGTACTAACCTCTCCACCAAATTTCTTGACCCCTAGGTTCTTAGGTTTCGAGTCCCGTCCATTCTTTGTGGACCCAGCTTGTTTTTTGGTAGCCCAGCGTCTAAACATCAAGCTTAGTCCACCAGAAGACCCATCTAAACCATAATCACAACGACACCATAACACCATCACACTCAAATTCAAAGAAAGATGATACAAAAAAAAAACCAATGTTCTGGAAAGGAACAGGCATTACCAGTAATGCTTTCATAATCACAAAGACGCCATAACACCATCCCACGCAAATTCAAAGAAAGTCGATACAAATAAAACAATGTTCTGGAAGGAAACAGGCATTACCAGCAATGCTTTCATAGACGGGGACATTGGTGACCAGTTCCTTCACAGTCAAACGTTTACACAATATCGTTGTAAAATTCATCGTGTTCAATTACCAAATAGTAAAAAAAAACCTGCAAAAGAAAAAAAAATCACATCAAAACCCACAAACCACACTTATCAAGAAAATCCAAATTCACCTCAAATCAGCCTATATACTGATTTTACAAAAGAAATTATCATAAGCAAAATTGGTCTCATTTCACAAGTTCGATTACCAAACTGTGCTTTTACCGTTGACACCTAACCTAGCAGTAATAATGTACTACAATTTGCTCCAACAAGAGTTCAAACATTCTGACAGCCTAACCAATTATAAACCTCCAGCTATGATAGCTATGAGAATATTCAAGAAATTGGTAAAAGCTCAACAAACAGCTGAAATATTCTTCTGATTTGGGGTTTCAATCTATAATCAGTGTTGTCTTTAGGGTTTTCTCCATAGTTATTAAACCCGGACCGGCCCGGCGGCTCGACCGTTGGACCGTTCGGGTTAGGAGAAAGACCGGTAAATGCAAAAAACCGGCAAGACCCGGGCAAACCCGGACGAGACCCGGCGTATGTAATGCATAAACTGTCATTTGCGAAATCAAAACTCGATCCATGAACACCAACCAACTTAACATTTAAATCGCTCAAAAACTAACAGATCTGAGTCAAACTCGGGAACGAAACACATAAAACTTAAATAACGAGCTCTGCAAGTTACTACTGACTCAGGGGAAGAGCG